ACCATGTTGACCAGGATGGTCTCGATCTCTTGACCTCGTGATCCACCTGCCTCGGCCTCCCAAAGTGCTGGGATTACAGGCTTGAGCCACCGCGCCCGGCCAGCAGTAATATTTTGAAAACAAAATTTTTTTTTTTCTGAGCAGTAGACTTAAAATATTCAGTAAACCATGCCATGAACAGATGTGCTGTCATCAGGCTTTGTTGTTCCATTTTCAGAACACAGGCAGAATAGATTTAGCATAATTCTTTTGTTTTTTGAGATCAAGTCTCACTCTGTCACCCAGGCTGGAGCGCAGGGGTGCGTCTCGGCTCACTGCAACTTCTGCCTCCCAGGTTCAATCGATTCTCCTGTCTCAGCCTCCCGAGTAGCTGGGACTATAAGCACGCGCCACCACATCCAGCTAATTTTTGTATTTTTAGTAGAGACAGAGTTTCACCATGTTGGTCAGGATGGTCTCAATCTCTTGACGTTGTGATCCACCCACCTTAACCTCCCAAACTGCTGGGATTACGGGCATGAGCCACCACAAAGGCCCAATTTAGCATAATTATTAAGGGCCCTAGGATCTCTGGAATGGTAATGACCACTGGCTTCATCTTTAAGTTACTGCTGCATTAGCCCCTAACAAGAGAGTCAGTCCATCCCTTGAAGCTTTTATGCCAGGCAGTTACTTCTCCTTTCCAGCTGTAAGTCCTACATATCATCTTCTTTCAATATAAGGCTGTTTTGTCTACACTGAAAATCTGTTTAGTGTAGCCACCTACATCAGTTATCTTGGCTAGATCTTCTGAATAACCTTCTGTGGCTTCTACATCACCATTTGCTGCTTCACCTTGCACTTTTAGGTTATAGAGATGGTTTCTTTTCTTAAACCTAACGAATCAACCTCTGCTAGCTTCAAACTTTTCTTCTGCAGCTTCCTTATCCCTCTCTGTCTTCACAGAATTGAGTTAGTACCTACCTCTGAGTTAGGGTTTGGCTTAAAGGAATGTTGGGGCTGGTTTAATCTTCTATACAGACCACTAAAACTTGCTCCTTATCAGCAATAAGACTGTTATACTTTTTTTTATTTTTTTTTAATTTTTATTTTTTATTATTCTTGTGTTCACTGGAGTAGTACTTTTAATTACCTTTAAGAATTTTTCTTTTGCAATCAAGACTTGGCTAGCAGGAGAGAAATGGGCTTTCAACATGCCTTCCTCACTAAGCTTAATCGTTCCGCTTTTGATTTAAAGTGAGAGATGTGTGACTCTTCCTTTCACTTGAACACTCAGAGGCCACTGTTGAGCTTATTAATTGACCTAATTTCAATATTATTGTGTCTCAAGGAATAGCGAGGCCTGAGGAGAGTGAAAGACATGGGTGAATAACTGGTTGTAGAGCAGTCACAACACGCACATTTATTCAGGCTGCCATCTTTTAAGGGCACAGTTCATGGTGCACCAAAGCAATTACCATAGTAACATTAAAGTGTTACTATTGTATCACAGGTCACCATAACGATATAATGCTAAAGAAGAAGTTTGAACTACTCTAAGAATTACCAAACTATGACACACAGACTAGAACTGAACATGTGCTCTTGGAAAAATAATGCAGATAGACTTCCTTGATGCAGAGTTGCCACAAACCTCCAATTTGTAAAGAATGCAATATCTATAAAGCTCAATAAAGTAAAACATAACAGAACAAATAAAAGAATGCTTGTATTCCAAAGTATTCTAGTTCCCCTACATCAGTTGACAGAAAAGAAAATAAAATAGTCTAAGCAGGGTGATTTTTCAACCAAATTTATCCTATAAGTGTGATTATTTTGAATTCTGACTTGAAAGTTGAAAAGCAAAAGTCTTGTTGACAGCTAGATGAGTTTGTTAACTTGAGCTAATCAAGCTACTTAATTATATTACAGAACTAAAAAATATTTAAAGAAATGGGGAGGGGAGCAATTTACCTTACTAAATTTTGCTGCATATATTCAACCTTCATTAAAATTTGAACCCCAGTCTGAGAGCGAATGTAAGCTTTCAACCTGAAATAAAAACATATTGAAGGAAAAGCTGATTTTTAATATATAAAGATAGTCTTATAAAGACAGCATTTGTGAGTACCTAATAATACTTAAAAGTTCATCTATTTAAGCACAGAAAAGCAGATAAAGATTTTTTCTAACCAGAAATCTGAAAAGAATTTTTTTCTCTATTCAATTAAACATCTTAAATTTTAAAATACCTGTTTCAATAAATTAATCTGGCTATATAATTTTATAAAAAATATATCCTATTCAGTGACACTCTGTCTTACTGCCAAGTATATGACTAATGATAACAACTAGGTTACTATTTATAAGGAAAGAAACTCAACTATCATAGCTATTCTAAAGACTGCTTGATATGTGACATGAATCTGGTTCAGTCTGGGCATGACCTTTTATCAAAAGCAAAATACTGAGATTTAATTAGAACTGGATTCGACATTTTAGAATCCACCCAGTCTAAATTTTAAATACCAGGTTATTCTGGAACCAAACCAAGCACTTGTTCATATCCCAAGCAAGTACCATCTGGTGAAAATAAAGTCAACTGGGTTTCTGCCCAGGAGCACTAATAACTCACACTCTAATAATAATCTTTTTTGAGCAGTGACTACTATATGCTAGGTCCTGTATTAAGAATTTTATACAGCTATTTCTTTTAAGCTTTGTAACAACCCTATCTAGGAAGTGTTATCATTCTTATTTCACTGATGAAAAAAACTAAGGCCTGGAAATTAAGTAACTTGCTCTTAATCACACAGCTAATAAGGGATAGAAACAGCTATTTTAACCCAGAGATCCATGACTGAATCATTCCACTATGTTATGTTAACCACTTTTGTCCACGCTGTATTTCTGGACAGGAGGCAGAGTGTACCTTACTTAGTTCTATGACAACTTGACTGAAACAGGATTTCCTGTCTTTAAAATTTACTTGGAAACTTAATTTTCAGAGTTTTTTGTTCGACTTCAAAGGTAGTTTAGTTTAAGGGTTAATAGTAAAGACTTTGAATCCAGACTGCCTGGATGTGAATTCTAGCTGTTTACTAGCTATAGGACATTACTTAACCACTTTAAGGCTCAATTTCCCCATCTGTAGAATGGGGATAATAATAATCTACTTTTCGGGGTTATTGTGAGGATTATATGAATTAACCTAATTGTTATTGTCTGCTTTGAAGAGTGTCTGGAACACAGTAAACAATGAGTGTCAGCTACTGTTGTTATTTATACTCATAGACCTTCAGTAAACACCAAAAAAAATGGGAAAGTAAATTGCACTACACATCACATTCTAATAACTATTCAACATTTTAAATTATTTCAGAAAGTTACAATATTTTTGAAGCATACCTTTGACGAATTACAGGATCAGACTTTTCAGGATCAATGTAAGGTTTTAGGATTTCATTAATAGTTTTATCTTCTGGTACTCTTTCCAACAAAGAAAAAAACCAAGCTATATTATTATTTATAATTTTCTACTAAAGGTGTTATATCTGAATTACTAAATATAATGGCTTTTTTTGATTTAAATAACTGAACAAAGACCTTTTATATTACTCTTGGCAAAATAAAATATCCTTTTAAGCAAAAATTACTTAGAGAAAAACTCAAAAAGAGTTCTTGGACATACTTAACAAGGTCTTAAAAAACAACATTTTGAGAAGATCTGTATAAATCAATTATAAAAATAAGAAGCCTCTTTTAACACACACCTGTATGCAAACATGAAAAGAAGAGGTCAGGATAAAATATATTTGAAATTAGCAGAAATAATAAATCTGAAAAAGGTTTCAGATTTCAGTGCATGTTCAAGTTTATCCTTTCTAGTTTATAAGACCAGGTTAAAAAATTGATACTAATTTCCCTGGAAACAAAATATTTTAAGTCTTCCAACTTTCCTCAATATATGCACACTGTTTTAAACTTATACATAAAGCTGTTAAAATAAAATTAAGACACTGTTTTAAACTTTCCTTAACCATTTATACGTATTCATATATACTATTGGCTACATACCCCTATCTGTAAAATAAGTCCTTTCCCTGTATGCAACTTCAAATAACAAACTTCTTCGCTAAAATCCCTGTGACAACTACAAAGAGAGGATATTTACGTATAATGTAGGAATATACTACTTAAAGAGCAAGTTAAAAATTTTCCTAAAACAAGAAATGAAATTGTTCACAAACATTAAAATGTTTTGTTTATTTTTTGAGACAAAGTCTCGCTCTGTCGCCCAGGCTGGAATGCAATGGCATGATCCTGGCTCAGTGTAACCTCTGCCTCCAGTGTTTAAGCTATTCTCATGTCTCAGCCTCCCAGTAGCTGTGATTACAGACATATGCCACTTCACCCACCTAATTTTTGTATTTTTAGTAGGGATGGGTTTTCAGCATGTTAGCCAAGCTGGTCTTGAACCCCTGGCCAAAAGCAATCCACTTGCCTCAACCTCCCAAAGTGCTGGGATTATAGGTGTGAGCTGCTGCACCTGGCTGACATTAAAATGTATAAATGAAACTTGAAAACATTTATAGGCTAGGTGTGGTGGCTCACGTTTGTAATCCCAACATTTTCGGAGGCGGAGGTGGAAGGATTGCTTGGGCCCAGGAGTTTGAGACCAGCCTGGGCAACATAGTGAGACCTTTCCTCTACAAAAAATAAACAAGATTAGCTGGGTGTAATGTCCTGAGCCTTTAGTCCCATCTACTTGGAGGCTGAGGTAGGAGGATCACCTGAGGCCAGGAGGTTGAAGCTACAGTGAGCGGAGATCTGCACCACTGCACTCCAGCGTGGGCAAAAGAGCAAGATCCTGCCCCCACACCCCCCTACCCCCCCAAAAAAAAGAAAAAGAAAAGAACAAGTTTGAATATGAAACAATAACACAATAAACTTTATGCAAATTAATTCCAATGAGTACACATATATACATCTAAAATAATACATTTTCTCAGTGATACATTATAATGTTAATTGTAGCAATCTTTGCATGGTAGAATTTAGGGTCATTTTTCATCTCCGTAACAACCACTCAGCTTAAGAAATACGAAATTTTCAGCCCTCTAATTCTTGGATGCCTCTACTTAATACTTGCTACCCTGCTAAAGAAACTATCATGAGGATTTCTATGTTAATAATTTCCCTTAGAGTTCTATCACCTTTGTAGGTATTCCTAAAAGTACACGATTTAGTTTTCTGGCTTTCTCCCCCCTTATTTACAAACAGAATCATGTTCTATACATCCTTCCTTAACTTGCTTTTCTTACATTATTTCTGAGATTCACGCACGTTCATGTGCACAGCTGTAGTTCATTCATTTTTAGTGATGTTTACCATTTAACTGTATAAATATACCATAATTCAGTTATCCTTTCTACTACTGACATTAACAGTTTATTTTAAATACACAGCCTTAAAAGTAAAACAAATCAGTTATTGAAAGATAGCAGGGATACCTTTTTTCTATATACTCAGCTTGACTTTGAGGAAACTGGAGCTTCACATGCCACCAAAACTGTTGTTTTCTAAGAGAGAAAATAATCATGTTAGAATCAGGGTATATAATAAAAGTATGGATGCAAATTGAACTTTCTGAATTTTTACTTTAAGATAATTCTAAAATTATTCTTAGAATTTAACATATATTTTCTATGAAGAGCTAATTTCTCTTGCAAGGATTATTAAGAAAGAAGAAAAAAGGAAAGCAGTTCTAAATTCCAAGGACTTCACATTTCTGAATTAGAAGGCAATTTCTCATAGTTCAGGGGCTTTTGAGAGCAGTGTGCTACTATTTGAAGTTTACAAATAAATTTCCTCATGACTAAATACAATGAGCTGATGTCTTTGCTTGACTAGTCTGGAAATTAGGTGAATGAAGTATTGTCCGGTTGAGTCCAGCTGGCTGCAGATACACTTCTGAGGCATGAGTACGTGCATTCAGTAGCAAAACAGTAGACAACAAGCTGGTTGCTAAGCAGAAGGCACTTTGAGCTACAGTCTTTATGCTTTCAGGTCTAAACTTTGGTTTGACACAGGATCAACAGCAATAATGCACTAAATGCCTGATTCTAGAAAAATGACTATATTTAATGTATCTAAATTTAGAGACATTGACATGCTTCCTTTTTTAAAAAAAAATAGAAGGCTCAAAATATTGAATCCATTACAGAAATTTAAATGTCTTCATTGCATGATGATTTTACACAATGTTTTCTTTACTTAGAAGAAATTTCTAACAATCCATTAATGACTACCGGCATGTCCTTAACAATCTATTCTATAGCAGTAGGACCCCAAAATCCAAAATAATTATATTTTAATACAATCTAGTAGAGTATCTTTCATCAAACACTTACATAATTTAGTAAAATTTTTGTCAGAAGGCAATGACCATAAACTCAAGTAAAATTCCTTCCATTAAAATAAGTTATCAGAGATCTGCATAAAGTAGTTTTCTTTAATAACAAGACAGTTTTGGCACAAGCTAGAGAAAGATAGGCTTAATTCTACGTATGTTGATAGTGCCATTTGTCATATAAAAATAATCATGTTAAGTTTACTATTTATTTTTATTGGGAACAAAGTTGAAAAGTACCCTTTCCTAATCTAAAGGCCAGATGTCTAAAATCTCAGAGGAAAAAACATTTAAAAATTTGAATGCAAATGCAACAGGTACTAGTTTTAAATAATAAATAATTCTTCCAAAACAAAACATCTTGCAATATTCATTATTTGTGAAATAAGCATACCATAATAGCATTATGAAGAGGATGAGAGACATTTTTTACATAAGAAATAAACTGATTTTTTAAATCTTAATGCATAATATAGTTTCTTCCTAAATGTATGTTTTTCCACATTAACTTAGAGAAGAAAAAAGGATCACCAACTTGCCATCTTATGGAACTGTAAACCATACACAACCACCCCAATTATTGCTCAAGAAACTTCAAAAACCATTTGCCTTTTAACATTTAGTACACCCTGAATATGTTCAGAAAGTACTTAACATTCCAAACAGAGAAAAAAGCTCTTGGAAATAATTTTATTTGCTGTAGTTAATTAGCTCTAGTTATAACAAAGTCATTCATTGCTATTTTATTATATATACATTGCTAAACTATTGATAAAAATGGCCTCAGCTCAAACATGAACAAATTTGAAAAGTACACTACTTTTAAAATGAGATCTTGCAATATTTCAAAAACACAGAAAAAGAGAATAATATAAAAAACATTCAGTGCACCCATACTCTAATTTAACTAATTTATAAATTGCTGCATTTTTGAGATGCTTTTATTCCTTCTAAGAAATAAAGGGCTATTGATAATGGTAGATGATTCTCTATACCGTATTTTAACCCAAGGTGAGCAAACAGAAGTTGAAGGGTATCATAGAAAGAACTGCTGAGGCTGGGCACAGTGGCTAAAGCCTGTAAATCCCAGCACTTTGGGAGGCCAAGGGCACACTGTTTAAGCCCAGGAGTTTGAGATCTGCCTGGGCAACATGGTGACACCTCATCTCTACAAAAAATACAAAAATGAGCCAGGCATGGTGGTGAACACCTATAGTCCCAGCTACTCTGGAGGCTGAGGTGGGAGAATCCCCTGAGCCCAGGAGGTTAAGACTGCAGTGAACTGCATCTGCGTCACCACATTTCAGCCTGGATGATAGAATGATACTGTTTCAAAAAAGAAATTGCTGAAATGGGTGAGTTAATTTTCTCTCAGATGGTTTCCAATTCTTCAGTGTTGCTGAAATTAATGTAAGTCCTGACATGTGTTCTTCTTACGATTCAAAGAATTAAATTTGTTTCCCATTTTTCATAATTATGTATACAAATATATGTACCACTTAAAAAAATACACATACACCAAAATCCTAGCAATATTACTTGAATGATTTTCTAAAGCTAGATTCCAAGAAGTACAATCACTAAGATAGAGCAGGGTTTATCAATCTCAGCAGTGCTGGTACTTTGGACTAGATAATTCTTTGCAACGGGGGACTCTGTCCTTTGCACTGCAAGATGTTTAGTAGCATCCTAGGACTCCACCCTCTAGATGCCACTAGGAACACTCATGCATCCAGTTGTGGCAACCAAAATTGCAGATGTCCTGTTGGAGGCAGAATCATCACTCTTTGAGAACCACAAGGATAAAGGTCTGAACATTTACAATTACTCCTAATGCATGCGGGCTATTGTTCCCTAAATTCAACAAAATGTCTTCAACTACAATAATGTCACTACGTCCTTGGCATAGCAACATTCTCAAAAATGGCATTACTATATCTAGAATATTTTAGGTAACTTAGGGACTCCAAGATACCATGTTTAGAGTTGGGTGATAAGACTGGTGAAGTAACTGCAGCAACTATTAATCCTAATGCTCCCTTCTGCACAATCTGACAAAGCAACAGAAACACTAACCTCTTATGAGTCCTATGAAACCCAAGTAACTGTTCATGCATAGTAAAGCTGTTTCTCTCTCTTCCCTCTCCTCCCCCAAATATCAATACACATGTGGATTCGCAATGACAGCAGCACTGCCCCTAAGAGGAAAAAAACTGGTTCTCTGAAGGACCATCAAAATCTTAGCTGTTAAAACATTTGCGGCCCTACAAAGGGCTACTGTATGCAACAGATAAACAGTGTATCTATGGTATCAAAGTATCATGGCAGAAAGCTTGTTGGAGGCAATTTAAAAAAGGTTGAAAAATACTTAGATGACACTTGTATTAAATGAGGAAAACAAATATTTTATACTTATTTTCACTGAGTTAACACAGGAGATTTATTTCCAACACTTGCTTACTAGAAACTGTTAAAGATCAGTCTCTCTGTGGCCTGTTAAAAAAAAAAAGGATCATTCTCTTCCCACAGTTTCAAGAAAGCATGTGAATGAACACACACATTTAAGGAAAGAGGTGCTAGACCCATAATCTCAATTATTCTTTTGAGTTCATAACTTCAAATTACAAATTTTCATATGGGAAATGCTATCATAATTCCAAGAAAAAAGATGCAAATCAAAAGTCATTAGTTCCTTTTAAATGACACTGCTCTAATGTTACAATAAGATGTTCAAATTCATTAATAACCAAAGAAATGAGTATAGAAATAAAATATTTTTACCTATCAGGTTTGCAGAAATGTTTTTTAAATTAGAAATGCTAAGGAAGTGTGGCAAAATAGGCACTTCACTGTTGGCTGGAATATAAACTGGTGCAAGCTTCTGGTTGGACTATAAACTGGAATATAAACTGGTGTAGGCTTCTGGTTCAATTTCATAAAAGTTATAAATAAAATTTAATAATTGAAAAATTGTATATTTTTGCCTCAATAGTTTTATTCCCAGAAATAATTTATCCCAAGGATAATTGGTCAAGTAATTATATTAGAAAAAAAATTTAGAAACAACCTAAATCACATCATCAGAAAGTTGATTAAATAAATCATGGTAGATCTACATAATGAATTTTAAGTAGTGATAAAAGATGAGATAGAACTTTATCTACTGACATAGAAATATGTACATGTTGAATTATGTATTATTCATATTTAAAACACAGGTTTATATATACATTGGTAAATACGAAGGTCATACTCCAAACTTTTAGCTATGATTATTTTTTGGCATTATAAAAAGTCTTGACTTAATTTTTACCTACAAATACTTCTGTATTAAATAAATCTTCCACATAATGACTTGTGGGTTTTTTCCGTTTTTGACACAGGGTCTCACTCTGTCGCCCAGACTGGAGTGCCGTGGTAAGATAGGGCTCAGTGAAGCCCTGACTTTCTGGGCTCAAGTGATCCTCTTGCCTCAGGCCCCCAAGTAGCTACCACAGCTGGCTGTTACTTTTTAATTTTAGTAAAAGACAATGTCTTGCTACGTTGCTCAGGTGGTCTCCAGCTCCTGAGCTCAAGTGATCCTCCTGTCTTGGCCTCCCAAAGGGCTGAGATTACAGGTATAAGACTGGCTGATTTGTTACTTTTAAAATCAATAAAGCCAAAGATGCTTCCATGGGGCACATACAGGATGGTCATGATAGAAAGAACAGGAATAATTGTAACATTCTTTTTAAACTTAAAAATATTTCACTATTAGAAGTATTCATTTAAGATTTCTCTTTTGCTCCCTTTAAGAAAAAAAATATATTTCTCTTTCTTATCTTAGAAACTAGTACCCAACTAGAACTAGGGTTACGTATCTAATCATTTTGACAGTCTCAAAGCTATCTTCCTATGAAATATGCCACAACTAAGAGTTGGAAATGGAGGTTAAATTCTAAGAATTAAGATTTCTAATACAAAGTTTAAAGAAGCCTGAATATTTCTTTTTTTTTTTTTTTAAATTGCCAATTATCAACCCATTCCAACACTAATAAACCAACATACACCAAAAGAACACTAATGAGAGCTCACTAGACATTAAGGACAAAGAGAAACAAGGGGTAAAGTCCAACAAGGACTTCTTTTTAGGGCAACAAGTCAATCACCAACGTTGGGCACTGCATTTTT